CCTTAACACTAACCTCAATATAGTTAACATGAACCAGTTAACCTTAATTACCTTTAACTTTAGTTGACAGAATACAGGTAAACGTTCACATGCACAGGTTAACCATAATAATAAAAAAGTTAATACAACTTACAGGGATCAGAGGCATGCATCCAAGCATATATGAAACCTCTGGTTTGTTCAGACCTTCCCTAGCAATCTTAATTCCTCTCTTCGTCTGGTCATAAATGTATTTTTCCTAGGGCACATTCTTCACTCTTTCAATGCAATCAACATATTTGAAAAAGAGCTTAGGGATGCTGCTAGGGCACCAAATCATCGAACATTGATACAGAATCTGCAGCAACACAAAATCCTTAATATCCTTCTTCTTTTTTGATTCAACAAGAGATTCTAGTAGCCCTTCCACATATTTTCGCATATTCTTTGGTGATTCTTTTTCATTTCTAGTAAATTGCTTAGCAAAATTCTTCATCCAAATCCTAGTGTGAGGATCTTTATTGCTGTAAATTACTTCCCCGTCAATTGAGAAACTAGTGTGTTCATGAACCTAATCCAAATTAAAAATTAACTATCTTTTCTCTCCCACTTTTGGCATCGGGCAGAGCAAACGTCACTTCATCTACTACATCGTGACTAAAAACAAGTTCAAGCGTGGGTCGATCTACTGCTGGGGGACCAAATATTATATAATGCTCAAATGTGCACCCTTGGTATGCATCCCAATGACACCGCCTTATTCTTAGTTCAAGTACTTTCATAAAATCATAATATGCGTTGAAACTAGTGGTATGTCTAATTTCAGCGGCATCACCAGACTTTTTCCTATAATAAAATTTAACATTTAACATCAATCTATCTAAACTTAACATCCAACAGCCAATAGTAACAACCAACAATGAAATGTAACAGTTATGCTATACACCTTAACAACCATTCACTAGACTAGTTATCGATCAATAAAACTTAAACGCATAATGTGTAAAGTCAAGTATCAGATACCAATATCATTAACCAATGTCTAGAGTTAACAGTTCATAAGAAATGTTAGCAGGTTATAACAATATGTAACAACCCGTCATTCATTTCTAACATTAATATGTTACATTTCATAGATCCAGGCATATAGTTCACAATACACCAATATTAATCTGTAACATCAATCTATCTAAATTGGAAACTTTAACGTCAACTTACTTCTTTCTGAATTTCTTTAATTCCTGTTTTGAACTTAGAATTTTTCTTTTTCTTGGTAACCTCTTTTGCGTGCCCAACAGGGTCTGGGTGGCTTCATCAGTGCTGCCATTTCCTGATGATGACACATGGGTAGATGAAGACTTAGAGGGGGAGGGAGATCAGAGAGCAGAAGGTCCATGGTCGGTCTTAGACGACAAAGGGGGGTCTTTAAAATTCTTGGAAGGTGAGGGGGAATCTTTACCAGTCGACGACG